AATCGGCCCGATTATGATCGGTGACCGATCGATCGGCACACCTCTAATAAATAGGAATAGCAAAAGCAAAGGAGGTGGATTAGCAGAGCTGATGTGTCATCCAGGAAATGTTACTGTGGAATATCATCTCTATTGACAGCCATACAGCAACGGTCAGAGGCCTCTTCAGATTTGTTGCAACACTGACTGCTACAGGAGATCCTTCCTACCTACAGCATCAGCATTCACAACTTATATTTTTATCTGGACGTTTAAATTTAGTTTCTCTTTAGATTTAATGTGTTTCTAAACTGAATTAAATGAAGTACTACTAACTCATCACATATGATTACTTTCTAAAAATGTCAGTTTTTAATTTACTTAAATATATTTTCAGTAAACATGCAAGGAACAAAGAGATCTGAAAGAACTTCTTAAGCCAAATTCAACATGAAGTTATGATATTTATAAAAACATTTAAGTCCGTGCCTTTACTCTCGTATAATATCAAACTAAATCTTTTTAAAAGCTCAAATGATCGGAGTCTGGTTAGTAGCTGCTGCTAGCCTGGATCAGTCAGCACCCACCTCCGACCGCAGCTCCGGTGAAAATAAATTTCTTCTTGTGTCGTTTGATAAAATTCCAGACAGATGAAAACATCTTCAAACAGCGAAAAGTTTAGAAACTAAAACCTCTTTGTGGTTTCAGCCTCTGCTCCTTATTTCACACACGTTAGCCGGACTGCAGCTCGGAGTCTGCATGCTAAAACTTCAGAGCTACGCTAACCAAAACCCAGGCAAAACATCCGGTTTGGAATTTCAATGTAAAATCCAATGTCGTGAAAAATTTTAAACTTAATTCAAATTAAACAAACCTAGATTTGATTTCGGAACTAAAATCTGAGAACGAAGTAAAAAAAAAAAGTTAGCTAAAACAACAATTGTGTCTCTTGACTTTAGTAACAGTCTCTGTGCACAAAGAGATTTAACAACTCTTAATGTGTTACAGCTTTAATGGCTTATAAACCAGGAGAAGTTCAAATAAACAATTTCACTTTGTTCCGATTTTTTAATTTAATTAAATAACCCAAATTATTCCTAATAATAATTTACTAAATTCACAAACTGCAACCATACACCAGCACCTACGTCTGTCAGTTCTTTTATTTTGCACACCACTTCACCTATTTCCGGTTCAGATTTTACGTGCAGACGTCAGTTTAACGTAAGAGAGCGTCGTGGATACGGTCCGTCCGATATTATCCTCCCCGACTGTCAGCGTGGAGCGCAGAAAGTTGCCTTGAAAAGCATAAAAACGGTAAATAAATGCGGTTTATTAACCGACAGTCTGTCACCGTGGAGTGACGTCAGACGGCATTGGTAACCATGGCAACAGAAGAGAGCCGTAAAGCCGAGTTAGAGGCCGGGTTTTCTGTAAGCGATGAAGAAATGAAGAAGTGGATGTCGAGAGCTTTTGAAATGGTAAGATCTTTAACAGTGAAAATTACTAAGTTTATCTGATATTTAATCATTAAAAAGGGATAGTCAATTAAAATGAAAATGATCAAAATAAAAATATTTCAGCGTTAGAACTTTATGAATAGGAAGGTCCTGGTAAACCTGGGATTTAGATTATTTTTGGTGGGTTTCTGGGGAGGAATGAGATATTTATATATTTTTGTTTAATTTATTTAACCTTTATTAATATTAAAAACAAACATTTAGAACAACACAGGATGAAAAATACACATCTAGATTCAAATTTGTCCATCTTTTCTGTTTGTTTAGACTTTTTTCTGCTGTGACCAACTTTGACTGAGTTTGTCGTTGCATGCAGGCCAGAGAGGCGCTGCAGAGCGGCGAGGTTCCGGTCGGATGCCTGCTGGTCCACGGACAGGAAGTGGTGGGGAAAGGCCGGAACGAGGTCAACGAGACCAAAAACGTAGGAAACCTTTTCTTCTTCTTCTCCTCTGGAAGATGGAGGCAGATCTGGGGTCGTCGTGACAACACTCCTGTGTGTGAAATGCTCTCAGGCGACGCGTCATGCTGAGATGGTCGCCCTGGACCAGCTGCTGGACTGGTGTCGCCGTGGCAACCTGGACGTGAGGGGCGTGTGCGAGCGGACGGTGCTGTACGTGACGGTGGAGCCGTGTGTGATGTGCGCCGCAGCGCTGCGCCTCATGAGTATCCTGGTGTGACTGTGTGTGTGTGTGTCAGTGTGTGTCAGTGTGTGTCAGTGTGTGTGTCAGTGTGTGTGTCAGTGTGTGTGTCAGTGTGTGTGTCAGTGTGTGTGAGTGTGTGTGTCAGTGTGTGTGTCAGTGTGTGTGTCAGTGTGTGTGTCAGTGTGTGTGTCAGTGTGTGTCAGTGTGTGTGTCAGTGTGTGTGTCAGTGTGTGTGTCAGTGTGTGTGTCAGTGTGTGTGTCAGTGTGTGTCAGTGTGTGTGTCAGT